GCTCTGCCAGCCCCAGCACCACCGTGTAATCAATGCTGCTGACGTGGCAGCAGTCCAGGATGACGGAGCGTGGTGGAGATGCTGCTGGAAGAGCATAAGGTCACGTCCCTGCTGAGTCCAGAAATGACCAGCCTGGGGGTCAGAGCCTTCAGAGCCGGGGCAGTGATACAGGCGGTGCCAATTGGGACCCAGGATAGGCCAGGAGCAGGCACTGGGCAGAGCCTGGTCCCTGTCAGAGCCCAGTTCCTGTGACACCCCCGTACCTGTCACACCCTGGTCCCTGTCACCCCCCCGTCCCTGTCACACCCCGTCACCCCCTGGTCCCTATCACACTCCTGTCACCCCCGGTCCCTGTCCCCCCGTACCTGCCAGGGCGTGCCCGCACACCGCGTCCCGCAGGTGCTCCATGGCTGGGAAGTGCAGGCTGCTCCCCGGCTGCACCAGCAGCACTGTCCCCTCTGTCACCTGCAGGGATGGGACACGGCAGCTCGGGGCTGTCACCCGCCCCAGGCAGGGACAACTGCCCGTGTCAGATGGAGGGGAGAAGCAGGAGCCCCCTCCCTCCCTCCTGCTCTCAATCCCGGGGTTTTTATTGCTCGTATTCCATGAAAAGGGGTCCCTGTGCAGCAGCACAGACCGGGGACATGGGGACAGCAGAACAACTGCAGCATTCTGCACCCCAACACCTCCCTGGTGCAGGAGCCCCCTCCCAGCTCCCTGCTGACCCCGCCACGTCCAAGGGGAGGGTGAAGCTCACCTTTACCGGGGGCCTGGCAGTGGAGTAGAGCAGCAGCAGCCCCGAAGCCAAAACCCCAGCCACGATTCCGTACTGCACCTCCCAGAAACAGAGCAGGAATGTCACACACAGGGGCACGAGGTCCAGCCCTGCAAGAGACACCGGCCAGGCTCGGCTGTGACTTGTCCTGGTGCCACAGAACCCTCAGCGACAGCGCTGGAAAATACACCAGGTACMATTTAACCTGGCATAAATCCCAACAGCACCGGCTCTGCGGGTCTGGAGGAACCCATTCCGTGCTTCAGGGGAGCCACAGGCTGAGCTCGGGGTGGGAGCCCCCAGAAAGGGCTGTGAATGGCCACTCTTTGCATAACAAAGGGCTCAGAGGCAGGTGGCACATTGATGGGACACTCAGAGACATTGATGGGACATCAGAGACAGTGATGGGACACTCAGAGACTGGGATGGGACACTCAGAGACAGTTCTGGGACATCACAGACTGTGATGGGACATGAGAGATTGCCATGGGACATCAGAGATTGTGATGGGACATCGGAGACAGTGCTGGGACACTCAGAAACTGGGATAGGACACTCAGCGACAGTTCTGGGACATCACAGACTGTGATGGGACACTCAGAGACAGCGACCAACCACCCCCAGACTTTTGCCTGACTGTGAGGGGATAAAAGGGCTTCTTTGCACTGGGTCCCGCCTCAGGAAGGCCCCACTCGAGCCGTTATTTGGTTATTTAGTTATGGCTCCACAATTAAACTGTTTTAAGGGTCTGGACGTGTGAGACTGTGCTTTGGGAAGTCTGGGGTGGAGCCGGTGAGGGAACCTGGCGTGTGTGAATGGGGCTGGGGGGCTGCCAACACCCCCTGTCCCAGCTCAGGGGGTGCCAGGGTGGCTCCTGGCCGGGGGGAGTTTCCTTTGCAGGGGGATTTGCCCTTCCCGACCGCTGAAACCTCTTAACCCTCACTCTTAACCCTCCAGAGCGTGCGGAAGATGCCGGCGTCGAACATGGGCAGCACGGCCGAGATGATGACAGCGGCCAGCGCCGCTTTGGGGATGAAGTAGAAGAGCGAGGTGAGGAASGCCAGGGACAGCAGGACCAGGGCACCTGCGGGAGGGAGCCCTGAGCACGGCACCCCGACAGCCGGGGGTCCCGGTCCCCAATCCCCGTGCCCAGGGCAGGGCTGTACCTGTGACCAGCCCTCCCGCCGGGGTGCACACCCCTGACTGAGCGTTCACCGCCGTCCTGAAAGGCAAATCACCGGTCCCAGGCTGGGCAGGGATGGGGGAATGGGGGATGCCCGCAGATCCACCCAGGAGAGCCATTCCCCTGTCAGGAACCGGAGCAGCCCCCAGCCCACAGTGGCGAGCACAGCACCGGGGAGGTGGCCACAGCCCGTCACCAAGGTGGGCTGGGCTGCTGGGGACCAGGACATGGGACAGGGACACCCACTGGGGTCTTGCAGAGCCCCCTGACCAGCAGCCCCCTCCCCACGCACCGGCCAAAGCTGCCCGTGATGGGGTACGAGGAGACAAAGGA